CTGGCACACCTTTTGAGGGCACGACTTTTGAGGGCTCGATATATATATATACATGTATATCTTTTGGGCAGCCTATATACACACTCATACAGTGTCTTCTTTATGGGTCCGACAAGACTCTGTAAACTGTCTCGACATTGATTCCGGTTAGCTCCTTCATGGGTCCGACAAGACTTTGTAAACTGTCCCGACATTGATTCCGGTTAGCTCCTTTATGGGTCTGACAAGACTCTGTAAACTGTCCCGACATTGATTCCGGTTAGTTTCTACAAGGGTCCAGCAAGACTCCGTAAACTGTCACAACAACTGTCACAACATTGTCTGCTACAACGGTCCGACATGACCCCATAAACTGTCTTCTACAAGTGTCCTCTACCGTTATGACACCCCCATACAGTGTCTTCACCAATGGTCTGACACGACCATACAGTGTCTCCTATCCTCTTTTCTTTTATGTATTCGTCTATTTTCTGTTTTGTTACTCTTTCCAAACTCAAGTTGGTTCGTTTCTATCCTCCTTGAGTTTGCGGGGGGCTGTTAGAATTTACCATCACCTACCACCACTACCACCTCACCTACTCCACTAAACCTAACCCACTACACCACTACCACCTCACCTACTCCACTAAACCTAACCCACTACACCACTATCACCATCCACTACACACCATCCACTACACCTACATCTATATAAGGAACCATTTGTAATAGACAATATAACATCAATATATCAATCAATAATAATACATACAATTTATTCTCTCTCTTTCTCTATACATTATTTCTTACAGTTACTTATCTGTCTCTTCTCAAATTATTTGGTTTGGAAAAATAACTTTGCAATATTTCCACTTGAAACTTCATTTCTATTTCTTTATCTGGGTGGATTTCAGGTTTTCTTGTTCACATGACTATATCAGTTACCTTTCTATTTTCTTTAAGGTAATTTACTCGTTTGTTTTTCTTTTTCTATTGTTTGGCGACAGGTCCTTGCCAATTTAACATCTGTTCAGTCATACTTTGATTTATTTTCGAAGAAAATTGACCAAAAGGTTATGGTAAGCCTGCGCATCCCTGGTGCAAATCTTTGTTTCTCTCAAGTCTTGACTTCTAGATCAAGTGATTTAATTTAATGTGTTTAGGAGCTAGAGGAGGCTGAAATGGAATTAGACCTTCTTCAGAAAGAGCAGGCGGTTCAGGAATCATCTAATGATCGCAAAGAATGGTGTCAGCTTCCCTTTCTAGACAGTAATAATTTGTCACTAAAACTGGCAGATTTGATTCTGTGACTATTTATTTATTTGTCATGTACTATTGTACCACTTTATGCCATGCAGCTTATGCGAAGGATGATGACCGCCTTCAGCAAATCAAGGATAGCATTCAACAACTGTATGCACCATCTTTACTTCCTTTGTTCACTTAAATAAGTTGAATTTATTACAAGAAAGAGAAAGGAAAAATAGATACCAGTATGCAGCTTTGGTGATTACTCCTTTATCTAGCCCACAAGTCATTATTCCATTTTCAAAAATATACGATCTTTGTTTATTTAGCTTATGAATCTTGTATCCATTTCTTGTATTATATAAAATCTTTGTAAACTATGGTAATGGTACTCAAGTGGCATTGGTCTTTTACACAAACAATTTACTAATGTTCTGTGAAAATGGGATGACAAATCACAAGACTTGTTCACAAAAACTTACCAACTTACCAGAAAAATTGAAATTGTGAATAACCTAGCATTGAGCTTCAAATAAGCAGTGGTTAGGATCCAATCTATATTTCTGAAATTCTTAACTTCCCTGAATTGGATAACAGACTATTGATGCGAGATGATGTGTTTAAGGCTCTAATTAATTTTTTTTTTTTGATAAATAAGCAATTTATTAAAAAAGCATCAAGAAGATGCAACCAATACAAGAAAACCACTCAGCAGGCAACCAAGAAAACAAGAACTAACCAATCACCTCATCTAGAAAATCTAAAAACACAAATAAATCTGGATCGACATGCCCATCCAACCAACTATATAAAAGGAGACGACTTTGTAACCAAGAAACACTATGAGAAACATCTAAGAAGGTGCGTCGATTCCTTTCCATCCAAAGCAACCACATCAAGCAGAACGGAACCAATAACCAAGCGCGCCGCCGCTGCCGGCCAAGACAGACACCCTGCCAAGCCCAAAGGAAATCAAACACCCCTTGTGGTTGAACCCAAGCAAATCCAAAGAGAGAACAGACGAAGCACCACAAACGCGAAGCCACCGAGCAGTGAAGAAATAAATGATCCACTGACCCCGCATCCGCGCAACACATACAACACTGATTCACAAGAATGTGCCCCCGCCGCATCAAATTATCCAACGTAAGATTCTGACCTAAAGCTGCCGTCCACATAAAAAAGACAACCTTCGTCGGAACCCCCGAAACCCAAACACTTTTCCAAGGGAAGGCCCCACCAACATCTCCCATCAAACCCGGATAAAAGGAGGCTACTGTAAACCGCCCCTTGGCCCCTACCCTAGTCCATACCAACACATCGGGGCCCACCCCAACCGTACCCAAACCATATAAAAAACCCCACAACTCCACCAACTGAGCGACTTCCCAGTCATGAATCTGTCGCTATAACTGAATATCCCAAACTACCACACCCCCACCATCCAAATAGGAAGTCACCAATGCATCTGGATCTAATGCAATATTAAAAATCAAAGGGTAACGGGTCTCCAACACCAACTCCCCACACCACAAGTCTTTCCAAAACCGCACCCTACTCCCCGCCCCCACCTTAAACCCTATCCACTTCCAAAACTCCACCCTTCCCAACCAAATCCCTTTCCATAACCCACACCCATAAGTACAGGTCACAGACCCAGAAACCCAACCCCCTCTGCCCAGCCCATATTTAGACGCCACCACCTGCCGCCACAATCTGTAAGGCTCCAAAGCAAAACGCCAGAGCCACTTCCCTAACAAAGCTCGATTAAAAGTCACCAACCGTCGAACCCCCAGCCCTCCAAACCGCTTGGGTTGACAAACCTTACCCCAATCAACCAAATGATACTTAAAATCATCACCACCACTCCCCCACAAAAAATCTCTCTGAAGCTTTTCTAACCGATGTGCCACTGACACTGGAATAACATGGACCGACATAAAATACGTGGGGATACTACTCAGCACACTCTTAAGCAATGTTAAACGCCCACCTTTCGAGAGATATTGGCACTTCCAACCTGCCAAACGGCGTTGCACCCGATCCACTACTCCATCCCACACCCTCTTTGCCTTAAAAAGAAGACCCTAAGGGCCAACCCAAATAGGACACTGGCAAAACCGAGACCTTACACCCCAAAACTGCAGCCAAAACAGGTAACCTAGCAACCGCTCCCACTGGAATAAGCTCCGACTTCCTCAAGTTAACACGAAGGCCCGAAACCACCTCAAAACAAAGCAAAACACAGCGCAAATATCTAACCTGCGCAGCTTCTGCACCACAGAAGATCAAAGCGTCATCCGCAAATAACAAATGTGAAACCCCCAAAGGAACCCCCGCCAGTGTCCCCACAACAAAACCTCCCAAGAAGCCCTCGCGGACAGCTTTATCCAACAATCTACTCAACGCCTTCATCACTAAGATAAATAGCAAGGGCGACAAAGGATCCCCTTGCCGAAGGCCGTGATGTGTCTGAAAGAAACCCGCCGGAGTCCCATTAATCAACACCGACATCCGCACAGTCGAGATACAGAACTTGATCCACTGACACCAAGTCGCCCCAAAGCCCATACGATCTAATACATACAAGAGGAACTCCCAATTAACATTATCATACGCCTTCTCAATATTCAATTTGCAAATCAAACCAGGGCGCTCCTGGCGAATCCGAGAATCCACACACTCATTGGCAACCAGAACTGCATCTAAAATCTGCCTCCCCCCAACAAACGCATTCTGAGACTCGAACACCACAGTCGATAAAACACCTCGTAAGCAATTTGCCAATACTTTAGCAACTAACTTATACACACTCCCCAACAAACTGATAGGCCTAAAATCCCGAATATCATCAGCCCCTCCTTTCTTCGGAATCAAAACCAAGAAGGTTGCATTGAAACTTTTCTCAAAATGCCCAGACACCAGGAAGTCCTCCATAGTTGCCATGATATCACCTTTAACCACACTCCAACAATGTTGCGAAAAAGCCATAGTGAAACCATCTGGACCTGGGGCTTTATCCCCACTCATACCCCCGCAAAGCTCCAAACACCTCCTCTGTAAAAGCTCGCTCCAAAGTCTCCCGATCTTCTGCCAGAATCGTAGCAAACTGAACACCTTCTAAACCCGGCCGCCAAACCCCCTCTTGAGGCCGGAATAAATGCTGATAATAACCCACTACCCCATCCTTAATCTCGCTATCAATGTGCAGCTCCCGACCATCCACCCATAATCTACTAATCTGATTAACTCTGCGATGAGCATTAGCCATTCGGTGAAAGAATTTCGTATTCCAATCCCCCTCCTTTAACCACAAACATCTAGACTTTTGACGAAAACAAACCTCCTCCATACGAGATATACGAACAAAATCCTGTCTAGCCGCCTCCTTACGAGTACTGGCCTCAGGAGACACCTCATCTTGCACCTCCAGCTCATCCAAGGATTGAAGTAAAGACACCACTGCAGCTTTTTGACCCTCTAGCCGACCAAACACCTCCTTATTCCAATTTTTTAAGGTCGCTTTCAACATCTTCAATTTTTGAGCCAACACACAACTAGGAGAACCACGAACCTCGTAGCTAGTCCACCAACCATGAACCAGGTTGAGAAAACCCTCGTGTTGCAACCACATATTCTCAAAACGAAATGGCGTAGGCCCACGTCGGATCCCCCCACTGTCCAACAAAATTGGCCAATGATCTGACACAGGTCTTGGTAACCGAAACTGAACCACCTCGGAAAAGTGCTCCTCCCAGCCCACAGTAACCAAGAACCGATCAATGCGAGACAAACTCCGACCATTTGACCAGGTGAAGCTGCCTCCCTGGAGAGGTAAATCAACCAACTGTAAATCATCAATGAAGGAACAAAAAGCCCGCATTGCTCCCGAACACCTAGCATGCCCTGCCTTCTCTGAAGGCCAACGAACAACATTAAAATCACCCCCTACACACCAGGGGACATCCTAGCGAAAGGCGATGTTCTTTATCTCCTCCAAAAACAAACCCCGCTTAGAATCCTGCACAGGCCCATATACCCCAGTAAAACCCCATCGGAAATTATCGTCCGCACAACGGACCAAACAAGAGACAGAAAAACCTCCTATCTCCTCCTCCTCCTTCACCACCACCCTCTTATCCCAACAAAGAAGACCCCCCCCTGCCGTGCCTAACGAAGGCAAAAAGGTCCACTCCACAAACCTCCCCCCCCACACCTCGCGAATCAACTCCACTCCCACCTCTGCCATCTTCGTCTCTTGTAAACAGACAATGTTCGGGTTGGTACCCTGCAAAACCGCCTTCACCGCCACCCGTTTATCCCTATCATTCAACCCTCGCACATTTCACGATACAATTTTTAACTTCATTTCAACAACAATGGGCCCCTCTGATCTCACCTTTCACCCCGTCCTACATCCTTCAAACCATGATCATAGTTCACTAAGCATTCCAAATTCTTGAGCTCCCGATATCCTTTGGAAGGGGTCCCCAATGAGCGAGAGACCCTAGAACTGGGAGTCCCTGGCTTCTATAAAGCCTCCACTGCTGCAAAAAGACGCATTGCCTCAGCTTCATGGCCTTCAAAGGACAAGCCCAAACAACGACTAACTTCACTAATTTGATCCAACACCCATTGGGACATAGCTTCTGCCGAAGGAATTTCCTCCCCCGAGAAACCCCCTATATCCTCAAACCTCTGTTTTTGTTTGAAACAAGTGACCAAGTCACTATCTTGCACTGCTAAAGGCTGTAACTCCAAGACTTGGGACTGACCCACACATTCGTGCCCCTGTCCTCCCTGGGCAGCCCATGATTCAACGTGAGGCATCTCCAACACCACTGGGGACTATCGTTCCACCATCTCTGATTCCAACGCTTGGTCCCCCACCGACAGCGTACTGTGAGGTATCTGAAGCTCCAACTGGGAATTTCGCTTAACCGACGCTGATCCCGCCGAAGGAGCCAATTCCGACGACACTAGTAGTCGCGAGCCTGAGTCCTCCGCAGATGACGCATCGCGAGACATCACCAGGTCCACCGGGGACTGACATGCATCTAACTTCGAGGCCACCATCTGCGAAGTGCTGCTGTCCGACGCCTCTACCACTCGCGATCCAAGTTCCGCAGCAGATGGGGCACGGTGGACCACCAACTCCAAACCAGACGGCGACACCAAGCCTCGCTAAGAACCCCCTACCCCAAACGAAGCAGCCCGACCCGACTCACTCAGATATGGATCGCATGAAGGCCTACAACCCAAACCACCCTCATTCCGACCCATACCCGTATTAACAAGAGGAGTGGGCTGCTCTGACAAGCCCAAATGACCAACCCCTTTGAGGCTTAAGGAACCACCCTCCTGTGGGCCGGACTGATTAACCACCGATGTCAGCCCCTTAACCAAACGGGCCCCCAAATGAGACCCTTTATTATTAACCACAGCCCACCTACGGTGACCCATCTTGCCATTATCAAAAACATGGGCCCTTCTCTAGCCCAACTGCCTTTCCTTAGGCCCACGTGAATGACCCAACTCAGCCCCCAAACGCTGGGTGAAAATACCCTGATAACCCATGGACCTTCCCCCTTTTCGAAATTGTTGCAAATATTTGTTCACTCCCATACTCGGCCGAAAAATCTGCCCTAATTGCGCAGAATCCGTTGTTACCAAAATCGGCGCAGACTCCCCAGCTTTCACGTTCGCCGACGACCACCGTTCCACCACCGGATCATCTTCTACCCAGACTGGCAGTGAAAACTGCCACAACCCCCAGCGGAAGGAGACTCGCGAAAGCATAGCCTCGGAACCTCGCACACGAAGTCGAATGGAGCCTAGATCCACCGACGACTCGTCTACCTCAATGCAGCCACCACAGCGATCACCGATGAATCGATACACCGCCTCCCCTCGAAGATGAATAGGCAGACCCATCAACCGAATCCACACTCTTCTCAGGCCGCGACGTCTTTGCCGGAGTGCAGAGAGCTAGTGGTGACCACCACTCGAGAAATAAATCACAGCCTTCCACTGTCCAACGCCGTCACAATAACGCCTCCGCCGCATCCCTACTTGACAGAACAAACAGAAAAGCTTTATTCCCCACAGGTCTGACGTCCACCTTCCCCGAATGCTTCCACCACCGGGCAACCCAATCAAAAATGGTTGCAAAACTCAGACCTTTGCCCCCCAAACCCCCCAATGTACCCACTAACGACCTATCCAAAATGCGAAACCAATCGACCTCCACCTCCGAGCAGACAACCCCGACGGACTTACAGTTGTCAGCAGAAGTGGATGCAACCTTCGTCAAGCCAATGGGTCGAGAGGCCTTTGCATCACACAACCCAAAGCCATCGACAACCAACGCCACCCCTTCCCATCCATCGCCGAACGCAGACACAGTTATGTAAACTTGTTCGTGTCGCTGTCTTGTGGTAACCACAATTTGAAAAGAAGTCCCCCCACCTTCCTCACCTCGTACCCATACCGCTGTAGTCCGACTACCCCCACTGGGCCGGCCCCAAACCTTTAGACTGCTGGGCTCCTTGGATGCTAACCTCATCCTGACCGCTAACCAATGAACTTTTGAAACATTCAGCACCACCGCCCGGCGTAGCCCCTTCCCCCTCTCAACAATCGACAACCCACACTTCCCATTCGCTCTGTCGGACTCCTCAAACTCAAACGACCGGCCACCAAGAAACAAAATTCGCCGGCGTGGCCCAACTTCTTTCCTTACTAGAAACATTATGTTCCTATAATTGCGGAGCACATTTCTAGAGAGAGAAATCAAAATTTCTATAACTGCGGAGCACATTTCTAGAGAGAGAAATCAATGCATTTAAGGCTCTAATTAATTTGCTCTCCCAAATATACCCCGAAGGTAGAAGGTGATCCTTTTCATTCTTTTGAAACTTAAAATTATTATGATGAAGCATAGTCTGGCATTCCCAACCATTTGACCATCAGGATGTGGAACTAACGCATTTAATTCATGAAAGTGCCTTCTTTTGACTTCTTTACATCAGAGATGACACTATCATTGAGTTTCTAGAACCTGTGATTTGTTAGGGCTTGTTTTGGTGGTTTTATGTTCGCTGCTTCAAATGCATTGACTTTTATTTGTAGCAGATGTTTCTTATTTTTTGTTTTCTTGAAGGATGTACATTGTTCAAGGATTACACGCTTATGTTTTCTAAATTTTTTAATTTTTCTTTTTTTGTTCTCTCCCAATTTTCTTATAATATAATTGAATGATACTCCTGTCCGATCAGAGAGAAGTCCAAGATCAGAGAAGAGATAATAGGTCGCAGGCAAAAGAAGCTACTTGTACGACGTGCCCGTCAAAAATATTTGGAAGAAGCAGCTTTGCGAGAAGCAGAACTTCTTCAAGCACTTGATAGGTTTTACTTCCTGATCTGTAGCTCATCATGTGTCCTTAAATTGTGATGGTTTCATGGTTATAAAAGATTGGATTTTCTTAAAAATAACCAATGCCCTCCTGTGTGTTAGAGAGAGGACGACTGAAGTAGAAAGGGAGATTGAGAGACAGCGGTCACTGGAACTTGAGCGTGCAAAAACGAGAGAGCTGCGTCACCATCTTGATATGGAGAAAGAGAAGCAATCACAGGCAAGGCCAGAGGATCACAAATTAACCCTGAACTTTGTTTATCTTCGTTTGATACTCTTTATATGTCTGTTCTTGTAATAGAACCTGTTACATAAATGAAGAATATGGCTGAAACGTTTCCTGAAGATATGATGACCAGGGACCATGGTGTGTCTTTGGTTATATTGTTTCATATGGTTTAATATATGCCTTTCCTTATGTTCTCCCAGTGCATATAGGATCACTGTGGTCCTTGGTCCTTGTAATTTATAAGTCATAAAGAAACTCTTTTGATCACTGTGGTCCTTGGTCCTTATAATTTAGAAGTCATAAAGAAACTCTTTTCTGATCTCTTCGTGTTTACTTTTTTCAAAACATGTATGCAGATTAGGGACATTCCCGCTTTTACAGCCCATACGCTAAATTTACCAAATTTACGAAAAGATTTGTGTAGTCAAAAGCTCTGCAATTTTTTATTAAACCAGGACAATTGCAGCAGCTAGAGCTGAAGAATGTTACTTTCCCCTTTTAGTACCAGTAGCTAGGGTAAGGTTTTGGGGATGAGAAGTTACAGGTTTAGGGACTATTTAAGGCTATTCTAATATAGCAAATAGGAAACACAGGGTGATGTTCATGTCCTATTTTTGGTTGGTTGAATGGAAAAAGTTAGGCTTGCCTACAGGGGTTCTAAGAATGAGAAAAAAGCAAAAGAAAGCTAGGGAGATATGGTTATGGGGATTTTAAATGCTAAAAGTGCAGAATAAAAAGAAGAGAAGAAGAAAGTTAGAAATTCCATTAGACTATCTTAAGGGAGCTTCAAAAGATTTACAAATTCCCTAAACAGTCTTTATTTTAATTAGAAGAATCATGTGTCTATTTGTAGCCTTTAAAAGACTATGCCAACTATAAGCTAGTTTTAGAAAGGAAACTAGACTTTTAAAAATTTGACCGACTTATGAAACCTATCTAAATATATCTTCACAATATAGTGACAAAAATCTTGTTCTGTATAAAACTTGGCAAAAGAATATAAATGAGAAACTTGTAAAGATATGCATATATATGCGAAGAAAAAAAAAGTAAAAACGCAGTTAGAAATGTTAGATTGGAAGTATATGATGATCTTTACAATAAGTTTTGTAAAAAGGATGAAAGTATAGACTTGCTAAGTTGAGGGGGAGGTAAACTAGATATTAAATGTAACAAGAACGAGGATTCATGAATACTATTTCAAGAAGAGTAAATCAAGGAGAGGTGTGGTAGTTATTAAATTGAAATCATATAGGTAACTTGGTATTAGAATAAAGTGGTAATAGTAAGGAGAGAGTTGGAGTAAAATTTTTCACAGAATTAGGGTGTTAGAAACGGAGACCTCACTAAGAAAGATAAAAATGGGAAGATCTCTAGGGTAATATGGCATTCCTATTGAGATTCAGAAGTGCATAAGAGATGTGTGTCTTTGTTAAATTTTTTAATAAAATTATAGTAATAAAATGCTAGATGAGTGGAGGAAAAGTATTTTATTACCTATGCAGAAGTAATGGATATCAAATAATCAATTTGGATTTATGCTTGAAAAATCTGCATTGGAAGTGATTTGTTTGTTGTTGAGATTAATGAAAAAGTATAGAAAAATAAGAAAGATCTCCTTTTCTTTTTTGTAGACTTGGAGAAAAGTGGCTGGCCTGGAAAAATAGAATCAAAACTACTGTTTTCTTGCAAAACCTCGGCATCCTTGGTCCCTCTGCATCCACCTATTGTTCTTTCTGCAATTCTGCCCCTGAATCTGCTCAACATATTTTACTCCATTGCCCATTCTCTTGGTCCATCTGGTCTTATGTGTTGTTTGAATGGAGGCTTCAATGGTGCATCCCAGATTCGGTGGCAAATCTTCTCAACTGGTGAAAGGGTGTCAAATTTAAGAGTCCTCTTAGGAAATTTTGGAGAGCTATTCCACTTGTAATTCTATGGTCACTCTGGAAGCATAGAAATGAGTGTGTCTTCACCAATGCTAGTTCGAACCCAGATAAACTGTGGGATCTCATTAAGTTCAGATTAGCTTTCTGGCTTAAAAACTCTCTCAAGGACTTTCCTTTCTCAATGGTTGATGTTGTTCTTAATTGGAGGCAAATTATTTGTTGCTATTGAGTTTATATCTCTGCTACTTATGCTTGGGTGATGTATCTGTTAGTTCTGTTTGTTCTATTTGGGTATTGCTTTTAGTGATGTTATGCTCTTTCCAGTTGCTTCCTATCTGCCATACTGATCTGTTGGAGCCATTCTGTTGCTTTCTATCTGTAGTCTGATCTGCTACACTGATCTCTTAGACTATTATGTTTATGGTATATGGGTTGAATTTCTCTTCTGCAGATTAGGAAAGCTATATGGGTTGTATTTCTCTTCTTCAGTTTGAATCTGGTCTGTTTTGCTTTGCTGCTCTGGTCAATTTTCTGTTCTGCTTATGCCTCTATTTGTCCTGTTTGCTTCATTGTGAGAAGCTGGTCCTATTCTGTGGCTGCCTAGCTCTAGTTTTGCTCTGCTCCTGTGATTTTGAGACACATCTGAAAGGGTGTGTAAATTGCTCTGCTCCTACTATTTATCTGCTATTTATCTGCTCTATCTGTTAGAGCTGGTGCTGCTATTCTAGTGGATGTGCTGCTGTCAAATGGTTGCTCTATGTTGGAAGGATGTGATTTGATCTGGTCTGATTTTCTTTGTGATGAATGGGTGTAAATTGATCTGGTGTGTCATGCTCGGATGAGGTGGTTGCTGTCAATTAGGTGGCTGCTATTCTTTGTTTTTTTTTTTTTTGTTGTTTTTGTTGGTCTCTCTCCAACTAGGAGGATGGAGCTTTATTTATCTCCAAACTCCTCTTTATTGATGTTGTCTATCATATGTATTCTATATGTGGTTCATCAATAAAGTTTTCTTTTGCCGATCAAAAAAAATAATAATAATAAGGAAATGTAATTGTTGGAACTCTATCGTTGATATTACCTTATGCTTCACTAGACAACTTAAAAAAGAAAAAAACTAAATGAAGAAGTAATGAGGTGGACTTTCCAGCTAAAATAGTAATCTTCGCCTCCCTAGAAGCCTATGAAGCCATGTTTGTACTCAAAGTGAGCATATGGAACAACATGGACCCATCAGTTAAACCTAATTTCAATAACATTTTTCTCTACCTAAAACGGTATATCAATGCTTAACAAAAGAAGATTTGAACAGCTTTATCATTAGAGATGGAATATACTTATATCTTAATTTGGAAAAATAATAATTGTCTGATACAAAGACTACAGTCATGTCTCTCAAAGCAGCACATGCAACTAGTAACTTACTGTTTGCCATTATTTGAAAGGGACATTGCTACATGCAAGTGACATGAAATATTTTTCCATCCTTATTAGTCCAGGAAACCCACATGACTTCCAAAGTTTTGCTCACTCACCTCACGATCTCTAATAGCTTGATCAGTCGCAACTTCCAAGTTCAGAAACTTTTCAAAAAGATATTCAATTAGTGTACCAAACTGTAAAGCATACATACCATCTTTAGTTTCCACAACATAATAGGGAAGAAAAAATTCTTGGTAGACTCTTTCATACTTCTATCAATGAATAATCATAAAAATAATAAATAAATAAATTTCTCAATTTCTAGATAACCACCAAAAATCTACACTTAGCTTAGTCCTCATTGATGGGGGTCTAGGAGGGGTAGATCGGGTAAAGACTTGACTTTTGGCATAATAACTTCTAAATCAATCATTAAAAAACTAAAAAGTACAAAATTGGTTCACTAAGAGATACAAGACAGGTCTGTTGGAGTTTCATCTTACACCACATATTAGGATGTGAAAGCTGGCCGCAAAACATAAAACTACTATTATTCATCAAAAAAATATTTTGGTCTAAAAAAAGCACCATGAAAAGAGCCTAAGGCAGTAGTAATAACTTAATAAATTATTGGTGGATCGCATGATATACATTGTTGGGCCCATTTTATAACAAATTTACGCTATTTAGACAATTGGTGATTTAACATGGTATGAGAGTTAAATCCTTGGCTTTCACACCCTACCTTCATATCTGAAGTTAAATTTATTTAGGTAAACACACAGGTATCAGGGTGGGCAGGGTATAGATTGTGGAGAAAATTACAAGTCTTAAGATCCCATCTAAGGGTGTGGAATAAGGAGGTGTTTGGTAATATTGATTCTCTCCTAAAATCAGCTGAAGAGGACATGCATGAATGGGACTTGATAGCTGAATCCAGATCTCTAGAAGATGTGGAACTTAAAAGAAGAAGGGAAGCTGTAAGTCTAGTGTGGAAATTAAGTAGAGATATGGAGAGGTTATGGCACCAAGAGTCCAGAATGCAATGGGCTTGTTATGGGGATAAAAACACTAGATTCTTCCACATCATGGCCAATAGGAGGCAGAGAAAAAACATGTTAGATTCAGTCCTTGTGGAGGGGGTGAGCCTAGAAGAACCAGATCAGGTTAAACAAGCTGTGTTTAGTCATTTTAGGCAATAGTTCTAAGAGAATTGGTTTGTTAGGCCTATGATTTCAGGTCCCTTTAATGTCATTAGCTCGGAGGCAACAGTGAATCTGGAAGTAAGGTTTACTGAAGATGAAATTTGGTCAGCTCTTCAAGATTATGATGGGAACAAAGCCCCTGGTCCGGATGGTTTTAATATTGCCTACATGAAAAAGTGTTGGTCAGTCATGAAAAGTGAGATACTTCAAATGATTCATGAATTCTACGCAAATGTGAAACTATCCAGTGGGGTTAATAGCTCCTTCATAGTGCTGGTTCCAAAGAAAGTTAATCCTACAGGTTTGGGTGATTTTAGGCCAATTAGCCTGGTTAGCTCCATCTATATGATCTTGGCTAAGGTGTTATCTAGAAGGTTGAAGAAAGTGCTGCCAGAGGTGATCAGTGAGGTGCAATCTGCATTTGTCAGTGGCAGGCACATCCTAGATGGTGTGATGATAGCCAATGAAGTTGTTCATGGGTGGCTCAGTGCTAAGAAGAAAGGTATTATTTTGAAATTGGATTTTGAAAAAGCCTATGATTCATTAAATTGGGAGTTTTTGCTATCTATGTTGGAGAAGTTGGGTTTTGGGGCTAGATGGGTTGGGTGGATGAAGTCTTGTATCACTACGGCTAAGGTGTTTATTCTGGTTAATGGTGCTCCAACTGATGAATTTTAACCTCAAAAGGGGTTAAGACAAGGGGACCCCTTGTCTCCTTTCTTGTTTATCATTGCAGCTGAGGGACTTAATTTGTTATTGAAGAGGGCTATTGAGTTGGGTCTGATAAAAGGTGCCACTGTTGGCTTGGATCACTTGGGTATTTCTCATCTTCAATTCGCAGATGATACAATAATTTTTTGTGAAGGGGCTAAGGAGGAAGTTCTGAATATTAAGAGAGTTTTAAGGTGCTTTGAGGTGATGTCGGGATTAAAGATCAACTTCCATAAAAGCTTTGTTTGTGGGGTTGGTTATAATGATGATCAAACCAAGGACTTGGCTAAGGCTTTGAATTGTCTGTCAAAGAAGTTGCCTTTCAATTTTCTAGGCTTGCCTTTAGGGGCTAATCCCAAAAGGAAGAGTACTTGGTTACCAGTTGTGGACAAGGTCAAGAAGAAGCTCTCTTCTTGGAAGAGAAAATTATTGTCTTTTGCTGGAAGACTGTCTCTAATCAAATCAGCCTTGGCCAATCTTCCAATCTATTTTCTTTCTATTTTTAAGATGCCAAAGGGGATTATTAAGATTATATCAAAGTTGCAGTCCAATTTCTTGTGGAGAGGGAATGAAACGAATAGAAAGGTGCATCTAGTTAAATAGGAGGAGGTCTTAAAAAGTAAGAGCCAAGGTGGTTTGGGAGTGAGGAACTTAGGGGTGGTTAATGCTTGTTTGTTACTAAAGTGGTGGTGGAGGTTTAGCAGTGAGGATAAGGCCCTTTGAAAATCAGTGGTGTGTTCTAAGTATGGCAAAATGGGTGGGGCTTGGATCCCTTCAGTGAATCAAATAGCAGGGGTTTCTATGGTTTGGAGGGACATTACTCAGATTACTGAGAGTAATCAACAACTGGGTGAGTTCTTTGGAGGCCAATTAAAAATCATTGTTGGTAATGGAAGGAGAATCAGGTTCTGGCATGATACCTGGTTGGGTTCTAGGAGCTTGAAATCTGAATTCCCTAGATTATTCACTCTATCCACAGAGAATGAGGAAACTCTCCACCAAATCAGTATCAAGAAAGGTTTTCTAGGGGAGTGGCAGCTCCAATTTAGAAGGTGATTGTTTGCTTGGGAAGTGGAGGAGTTGCAGAGGCTGTGTGGTCTGCTAGTGGAATCCCCAAGCCTTAGAGTTGGGTTTGAGGACTCTTGTTCTTGGGCTGCAGAGGGGTCTAGGTAGTTCATAGTCTCATCTGTGAGGAAATGGTGGGCTTTAGCTTCAGGGCAAGATGTGGGTGTTCCACCAGGGGTGTGGGTCAACCTAGCTCCTCCAAAAATGCAGTTTTTCTGTTGGTTAGCTTGGCAAGGTAGGGTCAAAACCTCAACCTTTCTCCAAAGGATTGGGGTTCTTGGTGTGAGTGTTAACAATTTGTGTGTGTTTTGTCAAATGATGGAGGAGTCTATGGAGCATGTGCTTCTGCAC